ACTCCCAACACTGCATCAGACGCTGCCAGGACGCTACAGGAGCTCAGTGATGCCCTTACACAAATCTGGGAGGACATCCCACAAAACACTCTCCGTGATCTCTTTAGGAGTGAGCCACAATGTTATTAAACATGCAAACAAGCATGTGGAGGATGCATAAGATACTGAAAAGCATATTGAGTTGGAGAAATACAATTTTGGGAAAATGGACCAGCCTGCCACATCATTATTTCACTAAAACATTGCCCTCTCCATATTTGCATACATATCCATTTCTACATTGAGATCTGATGTGTTTTCAAAGCGTTCCTTTATTTTTTTTTTGAGCAGTGCACAGACTTATGAAAATACTACGTGTGTGTTTTATTGTGTGTGACATCAACCCTCGAGGTGATCTGCAAATGGAAATCAGCCCAAGGCCTTAATCTGCCACACTTAAATTTATCTAAATGTGCATTAATATGAACTAGATAAATTAAAACATAAATAAATAAATGCAATAGAATAGAAAAGTAGCAAGGAAGATGCAAGTTGTGGTTTTAATATTCTTGTAGTAGCAAAACATCAAAATCAAAACATGAGTAATAGTTGTTGAAAAAAATATATAGACAAAACTGAGTAGTAGTAGCAGTAGTAGTAGTAGAAGACCACTAACCCAGTGAGGGGTCCCACTCAGGAACAGCATCCCTGCCGTCTGGAGCTGATAGAATGAGGCCAGTTCTTGCTGTATCTTTGTGTACAGATAAATAATGCATTCAGTACATACAGCAGAAGTACACATATACTACTCAAGAAAACTCTGTGGGAGTAATGGAGGAGGGCACGACGGAGGACAGGATTTTATTTTGGGATGGAGGAAATTCATTACATTTGTCCTGGTTTGAGCCCAGTGTAGACCTGAGTATACACTTGGTTAGGTTCTGTTATAGTCCTGGTTTAGTCCTGATCTAGTCTAGGTTTAGTTCGTAAAACATACAATATTTACATTTGCAGTTACATATTTTTTTTTATGTTTATGGGCGTCATTTTGGGAACTTTACCATTCAGATTATAGATATTTTTTATTGTTACTTTCTCCATGATTACAAATAGTCTTATTAAAGGTGCACCTTACCTTTCAGTCCTTCATCAGCTTGTCTTCATGAGATGTTATCGTTTTGCCCGGAATGTTCTACAGCAGGGGTCTCCAACCTTTTTTCTCCAGTGAGCTGCCGATACGAAACAAAAATGCCAGAGAACTACTAATTTTAGCAGTCGCAAAGAAACTGAGTAAATATAAGAGCCATGGCAAGAGCCTTAGATGGGAAACGGATTTAAGCAATTATCCATTTATTGGTGCACCAAGTTAGGCATCAAAATGAAATATTTACAGTTAATTAATCAGTAATTAATCAAATCTGACTTATTATCCACAATACATAGAATTAATAAATCCCTTGGCGAGCTACTTGGAAAGGGAATGGAGCACTACTGGTTGGAGACCCCTGTTTACATATGGTATTAAGTACACATATTGAGTGTCTATATTTACAAATATACAGTTCATTTTTAGTACATAATGTAAGTCAATTTTAAGAAAATGTGTACAATTTATAGAGGTGCATAGGGTTAGAAAATGTATTGTAAAAGATGGATAATCACTGTTCCACTCAAAAACTCAATTTAAAGGTCCCATATTACACAAAATTGCCTCTTGTGAGCTTTAAGTCATGTTATAATGTGGTTACCTCATCAAAAACCTCTTGAGTAATCCTGGATTATTAGTCTGTCAACATCTCTAAATCTTAAAAGTGGTAATTTTCAAGTTAACAGCTCCTTTTACCTTTTTAGTTCAGCAGAGTTTGGCAATTCCAGGGCTGAAATCATCCAAATGATTCTAGTGAAGGTGTATGGAGTTTCAAAGTACAATGGAGCACTTCCTGTATTAGTAAGTGGAGTGTGTTTAGTTTGATAAAAGACAAAAGTGAAAAAATGCATAGCACACTCAGGTTATGTTCAGACTGCAGGGCTTAACACTCAATTCAGATTTTTTTGTGAAATCTGATGTTTTTGCGAGGTCGTTCACATTTCCAATTAAATGCGACTTGTATGTGACTCCAGTGTGAACATTAAACGGCCCGAAAGTGTCCCGCATGTGCACTGGAGACACGATGACGTCAACCGCAGCGAGCGTGCTCTGTGTTTACGGAAGTTGTCCAAACATGGACGCGAGCATTGAGCACCTGGAGATTTTAAAGTTCCTCTCGTACTGGAGTCAGAATATGAACAACTTACTTGTTTTAAGGAGGAGATTGAGAAGGAGAAGGACGAGGTTTTTGGCCGTGGTGTTTTGTGGGGCAGCGGCAGCGACGTCCGTTGAAAGGAACGTGTGGATGTGGAGACGTAGCCAAGAGTGGTGAGTGGTGATGTGCTTCGCTTCAGTGACACAGAGTTCATTAACAATTTTCGCCTACTTCAGTGCAGAATAGTGACGTTTGTGGCTTGTTGATAACGTGTAGGTCGGATGAATGCGCTTTGGCCGTTCAGACTGAAGTCGCATGTCAAAGATCGGTTATGTATCGGTTTCAGGACCACATATCCAAGTGTCCTGGGTCACATTTGAAAAAATCGATCATTAATCGATCATCGGTCATTAAAAGATCAGATACAGGTCACATAGAGGCCAAAAAAATCTAATTTGGGTCACTTCAGGCTGCAGTCTGAACGCAGCCTCAGATGGCCAATGTCCAAAAGCTTATTTATTTTCAAAATAACCCCATTCATTGATGGCGTATATGAGCACCTGAGCTGGCAACCATTTTGTGTGCTGTGGTCCAAAGCAAGAAAAAAAGATCTGATGAATGCTTTTTTTATCGAAACATTATTTTGAAAATCTTTTGGACATCGGCCATCTGAGTGTGCTATGCGTTTTTTCACTTTTGTCTGGCTGCTCCTTGCATTTGCACCTCTTCAAGAATTTTGGTGTGCGTTTTCTGTTTCTTTTGATTTAGTCTGATAAAAGAACACAGCCTAAATATGCAGGGTTTGTGTGTTAAACATGTGAATGAAACAAATGGTTTTGATGAGGAAACCACTGTATAACGTAGATCAGAAAATAGTGTCATCTGGGCCCTTTGTCTATATGGAGGAAGCTGATTCTGCATTTTTTCACTTTTCCTTTTGTTATAGTCTCTTTATGTTCAAATATTAGCATAAAAAACGTAGAAATTATTCAGAGAGAGACAGTGCAGGTCAGCGTATGTCAGCAGTTCTTCAAATACAGTGATATGAAAATATGTCAGGTTTAATACACGTGACCTCAGCAGCAGCCATGATATTTCTTTAGCTACAACCTTTGAAAATGGGTGTGTTTTGAAGTGTCTTTTTTGGTCTATACTCCAGAGTTACATAACAAAAAAGGTCAAGAAAGCATTTGTTCAAAAACTCCACGCCACCTCCGAGAGATAAGCTCAAGTTTTAAAGTATATTGACTGTAAGGATGCGTTCACACACAGCTGGGACAACTCAGAACTGGACCAGGACTAGACCAAGACATGTCTAAAATGAAATGCATTTGGAGTTTTTCTTAAACTAAACTACGACTAAACTTGGATTTCTGGTCAGGATCACATTGGGACTAAACCAGAACTAAAGCTGAACTAAACATGGAGCAAATCAACATGTAAATCAGGACTAAACCAACAATAAACTTGGAGAAAAACATTAATAAACCAGCACTTGCACTGCGTAGCTTTTCTGAAGAGAGTCCGCATCCTGTTTGTCTCCATGGAGATGTTAATACTTTGATTTAAACTGTCCACAGTACGGCATTAAACGATTCTGTCTTGCATTTACTCAACTACAGGTGTTTTTATTGCTCAAAAACATGAATTCTTACTGCGATTGGGGCCGCTTCTCCACAAATCCAGTCTGTAATTTGGCTTGCAAGTCTCCATGGAGATTCTTAAGTGTATGGTCATACTGTGGAACATTCAAGTCACATCTCCATGGAGACAAGCACCTGACGGACCCTCCAGAAGACAAATTACACAGTGCACCAGGAATAAGCCAAAACTAATCAAACTCAGCTTTGAAACCAACTGAGAGTTTACTTGTACTTTTACTTGTAGGTTGCTTTAGTGAAAAACAGTGATGTAGAAGTTTGTAGCAGATTTCTCTTTGCTTGTTGGTGATGAGATATTTGTGAGGTCATGTCCGTACATTTTTCCGTGGAATATTGTCAGTAGAGTCCGGCGCACGATCAGGGCTCTGTTTGGGAGGTGCACTTGTGGTGATAGTCGCTCTTTTTCCGCGGGGACTCATTATAAGACAAGTTTAATTGAAGATAAAGCCAAAGTTTGGTGCAGCGTCTTTACTTGCTCCTGCTCAAGCCGACATCTTAAGGTGCTGGTCCTGTCCTGCCGCTTCCCCAGTTTAGGCTCCTGGCTCCACCAATGACATCACTCTGTTGCAGCCAATGAAACAGCGGCAGCATTAACCCTGTCGTCACATCACTGAATACATCTCAGAACATTTAATAAACAAAATGTGAACTTAAACGTGTTAAATTAATACTACTGAGTTTGGAAAAATATCGGAATAGATTTATATTTTTGGTTATTAAAATAAAATGGCAAATATTGGTAGGGATTATTTTGTCTTCCCCAGATATTGGTTGTGACATGTCTCCACCGTCCCGATGCAAACCTACGCCCTTTACCAGGACTAGACTAGAAGTAAATTTGGACATTCACACACTACTCAAATTTGGGTCTAAACTAGGGCTAAAACTAGAATCAGATCTGGACTAGACCAGGACTAAACCAGCATTAAACCAGGACTAGAACAGGACCTAACCAAGTCTACATCAGCACTAAACTGGATTCCAACCACACTATGTAAATGCTGTTGATGTTTGACACGTGCTTCAGCTTGATGGGGAAAACCAGAGAATAAACCCAGTACCACTTTGTCTTTGTGCTGCTGAGCCAAACACCTGCTCTCTTGTGTATTGTTCACAGGAGGTGGGCTGTGACCATCAGTTGGGGAGCAAAGTCAAAGAGGACAACTGTGGAGTGTGTGGAGGAGATGGAACCACGTGCCGCCTGGTTCGAGGGCAGGTTTCACTACATCTCACCCCCCCGATCTCTCCACGTGAGTACACTGTTCCTACAATAATGACCAGTTTATTTACACATTTTATAAAGCTGTTTTACTTGGTTCACATTCTTGCCTTTTATATTTCCTATTTTAAAACTTGGATGTATTTTCAAGAATAGAAAAAAGTGGATTTCAGGGCATAGATTCTAAATGAGTCAATGATATGACACCTACATTTTCTGTCCAATTGCAATTTCTTCAGTTAAAAATGTTCAAATTTCATAATAATTCACCACATATCTGTAAGCACCTCTCACCTCCATGGAACCAAATCTTTTTTTTCAGAAATCATTAGTTATTATGGATGTTTTTTGTACATAAAGTGTTAAAATGTCATGTGGCGCGACCGTCCGCCCTTAACTGCTGATTTGTAAACTTCTTTAAAATTACTCTCAATCTAATCAAATGTATTTTCTTTCTTTTTTGGCACATTTTCTGAAGTGTTTTGCAGTCCCACAAGAAATTTCAGCTTTCTTGAATAGATATTTTCTCCATAATATATAAGTAAATATTGTCCGAGTGTGTCAATTTTTTCCAAATATCATCAAGAAATTTCTATTTTGGGACTTTTATTTTGGATTCGAGTGCTTCCAGCTCCAATTCACTTTGTATCGAAAAAATGTTGCCCCTCTCGCTGCACACATAATCCACTGAGTCGTGTTCTTTAGTCTGACAGAAGCTGAATTTATAGTTTATGCAAATGAGACATGTGGTTTTAAGTTTAGTTTCTGTAAAACGTAAGCAAATGTGTGCAGTGTGTGTGTGTAATGTGCAAGCTGCATTATACACATTATTACACAGTCTATATTTGAGTCTTCCTCATAGGAAATAAAAAAAGTCTCAAGTGTCGTCTGTTTGTTTCGCTTCATGCGCTTCATAATCCGGTGTGCTTTATAATCTGAAAAATCCGGTGATACTAATTGTTCAGAAAGACATGATCACTCGGTTAACAATAAACTATCCTCATAATAATAATTCAATAATGGTCACAAATTTATTTTGTGATTTACGAATAATGTCTATTGACTTGGGTTGCAAAGATTTGTGACTTTTAAAATATGTATCCCCGGAAAAAACATATACCTTATGCTAGGGGTGTCAAGCTCATTTTGGTCCGGGGGCCGTATCCAACCTATTTTGATCCCAAAGGGGCCGGATCAGAAAACTCATGACATATAAACCCCAAAAATAACAATAGGTTCAAATATTTGTGCAGAGAAACACAAATCTATTACAGACATCTTTTTTTAATTGATGAACTCTTTCTTTTACCAAATATTATAACATTATGAACAACCTGAAACTTTAAGAAAAATACAATTTCAACACAATGTTTAACATGAACTTGTATGTAAATAGGAATAAGTACATTTTTCTTTGAAAATCCTGCACTCGGCTCCACTTTTCTCATTTTGGACATTTTTCTGATGAGGGTGTCACGGTCAACAGTCAAAACAATCGTCCTTTAAGAGCGTTTGGAAAGAGACAAGTCTTCATTTGTGTTGCTCTGGTGGGAGGGGCCACGTACAGAGGCGCTGGAGACGCTGCTATGCTAAGCACCTCAAAAAAATTACCAATATTTTAATAGAAAATATAATTTAAATATTTTAGTAGAAAATCAGCCGAGGGCCAGATTAAAGGTCTTGGAGGGCCGGATCTGGCCCCCGGGCCGTATGTTTGACACCTGTGCCTTATGCCATATGCCTTAAACCACGACCTTGTGATGAAGCAGTAGTTTTCAATTTAATCTCTACGTTTTACCTTTCGTTCAGTGGAGACTGCCAGTTCTAGGGCTGACAGTATCCAAATGATTCTAGTGAAGGTGTGTGGAGTTTAAAAACACACTGGAACACTTCCTGTATTACCACATGACATCACAAGGTGGAACGGAGTGTTTGAGAGAAGAACTCAGCCTAAATATGCAGGGTTTGCGTGTTAAACGTGTGAATGAAACAAAACACAACTCCAGGTATGTTTGTGACGAGGAAACAACATTATAACATAGCGTAATAGGGGCCGCCTAAATGAACTACTTCTGTTTTTCACTTTTTGAAGAGTAAAAATGAGGTGCAGCATCTTTAAATTTAAAATCGCGCTGTCTGTCGTGTTGAAAATTGTTCAATTCAACCAACGAAATATGACCTGTTCACTGTGCAACATTGATATTAACCGCTGGGTCCTTGCGTTACACCTTCACAGTCTACCTCATTTTGTCTACCTGCTGCATCTTCCTCCTCCTCTCCTCCTCCTCTCCTCTCCTCCGCTGTTTATTCTGAACTGGTTTATTGAAATGCCATCTGGACACAGCCACCTACTGCCAACACATGGAGGTGCACAGATATCATTTTCTTGCCAAAACTGAAATCGAGTTCGGCACCAAAAAGATTCAATTCATTCAACTGTTTCAAGGCCAGAATTCTCCGGTTCACTTCAAACTACAGCAGCACGGAGCCGACGGCGAATATTTCTGAGGTTTAATCATTTTGCTTATAATGGAGGACAATAGAGCAATTATGCGTACTGTCGTTTTGTTTGTTAGTTTTATTTTTCATCATCATCAAGAGTCAAATTAATAACGTCGATAATAACAGACAGGTCTAACTTTTTTTAAATATTTGAACAATTTCCAACAGTGACTGAAATACAAAATACAAAATACTAAAGACTAAAGTAAGTTCTGTTCAGAAGGAGTACAGGGGCCTAAACAACTCAAAAGTAAAATCCAGAACAGAACATTTTCAATATTTGTCAAGAGAGATCGACTCCTCAAATCAATCTTGTGTCTAAAAGTTATTTGAGTAGCGCTTCAGTTTGACCTCAGCTCATTAGTGCTGACTGAGAAGATTTTGTAATGACTTTGTGGTCCCAGTTGTGTCATATAAGCCCAATAATTACATAAAGTTAAAGTGATAGTATGGAACTTTTTGGAGGTGGAGAGTCAACGGCATGATTGCACTGAAAACAGAACGTTAAACTCTAAACTTCAGAAACCTTCTCAGTAGGAATAGACAAGATTTATGCCGTACTGTGGACTATGGTTAGCCAGGTTGGAGCCACCTAGTGCCTTCACTCAATTTCATTTTTCTCCAGCAAATAGGTCAGGAATCGGATACACTACACGTTTTCCAAGAACCCCAGAAGACCTTGGGGTTGTAGACCTGTCTGGGTCCTTTTGTGGTACAGCACAACAGTAAACAAAGCGGTCGAGATGGATGTAGATGAAGCCAGATATTCTGTGTTGGCAACGATTCCCGAGATCAAGAATTAAAAGCTGGAACAAAGAGAATGTTTGGTGAATTTTATCAAGGGGAAAGACGTTATTGCCCTTCTTCCTACGGGATTTGGCGCATTACATACGTCACGACCAAATAGCAGCGGTTGGTTAAATAAAAAAAAAGTACCAGCATACCATAGAGCGAATGAATTCTAATACTGCGTGGTCAGATGGTTTCCACGAAGTGAAACCAGCTAGACTATAGGTTACCGTATTTTCCAGGCTATTAGGCGCTCTGGATTATAAGACGCACTGTCATTAAATGGTCTATTTTCTAACTTTTTTCACAAATAAACCGCACTAGACTTTAAACGAAACACAACAGTTGGATGGGTCAGTGGGATTTTGTTTGGCGCGTTCACGGTGACTCTGGGCTTTGTTCAGTTGTGGCGTGTAGGGAGGGTGCTGTCTGGGACCGCTGGATTGTCGGCGTGTTCGCAGTGACTCAGTTGTTCAGTTGTGGCTCAGAGTGGCACATTGCACTCGCTTTTTTCGGTTCGTTCCTCCGTTCCGTTCCTCGTCGGCGTGGAGTGATGAGTGTGGCTGCGGGTGTTTTTCGCCGCGCGGTCGCTGTCTGCTCCGTGTGTGTTTGCGTGCGCTGCAGGTGGTGCGGCTTTGTAGTTTACTGAAGTCGTGCTGGGACACCCGAGTGGATTTGTGTATAAGGCGCTCTGGATTGTGGGGCACGCGGTCATTTTTTGATGGAGTTGTAGGCTTAAAAGTGTGACATAAAGCCCGGAAAATACGGTATTTTTTTTTTCAGACTTTTCAATGCAATGAACACACCCATAATGAAAAAGAGCTTTATTTTACTCTTATTTTACTCTTTGCTGTTTAACTATCAGATTTGTTCACTTGGTTTATGGTTAATATCTTTGTAATTGCTGGGACTATCCATATGAAACAGAAACTGGCACAGAGTTCATCTTCTTTGTGTAGGATAGTATAAATAAACAAAAGTGACATTATTCAAACCCAAACTGAACTTCACTCCTTAAGATTAATATTGGTAAGGTTCAATATTTTGTTGATCATAAACAGTGCATCTCCCACAGAGCTGTAAAGGCCCCAGTCCTCAATCTGAAATTATAAATACCATGACAGACCATGAACACAACTTAAAATTGTAATTGTTCTTTGGGATAACTGTTGTACCATAGGCTTAGAAATAGTAATACCATTTAAATATTATAATGTAAAAAACAAATCCTTGTCTTACTCCATGAACAGTGACTTCTCCTCGTCTCCTATAATGTCCTCATTGTTGACTGTTAATGAGCACACATTTTTGTCAGTATTCCCAAAAAGACGCTGTGAGAATTCCATTATAATAAGATTTTCCATTTCCACAGTTTGTGATTTTCCTCCTGAATTTTCCGGTAAATGCTGACCGCCTCTTGCCTCAGGCCCTTGATCAGAATGTCCAAGGCGACTGGAGGCCAAATTAAACCCACCGCAGCACATTTGCAATGACTAACTGATGTCGGATCAAAAAATGTGAAAGGTTTGAAGTCTTTATAGCCAAAAATAAACTAAAACTTTGAATTTCCATGTTTATTTTGAGGTAAAACCAAGTTCCTCCATTTAAATTGATTCTATCGATCTGTTTATTTATCTATCCATGCATCGTCACCAGTTGCCATCTGGAATTTAGAGTGCTTTTGTTTACAAACTTTTAAAGGATCTATACCAGTGTTTCCCAAACTTTTTTTCTGTGGAC